TGACCGCTCTGCTGGTTAACACAAGCCAGAAGCCAAGCAACCGTTTGCAGTGGCTCCTTTGGATCTCAACACTTCAGCACAAGGCTTGAGCACTCTGGCGGCTTGGAGCTCAAAGGCCCAAGCACTCTCAGCCTCTCGCTGGACTTTGCAGCAGCATTGAGCACCTCTGGTGACAGGCACAAAGTCTTCAAGTCTAAGCCACACGCATTTAGGCGCAAACGCAGTTGTAGGCAGCTACGTCTGGGGTGATCCTTGGTGCAGCAGTCTACCTTCAACTTGACCTGCCTCCAAGGTCACATGCGCATGGTTGAACTAAAATGGAATTCAGTCGAGATGCTGATTGCAGCGCATTCCTTCCATCCACTCGGCCTGTGACAAAAAGTGGCACACGCCAGGCAGTGTGGGTCATGAATGAGCAGCCGGCGGCTTGCTCAAGATCTCCCCTGCTGGCACAGCCTGAATTTGGACACATGGGGCATTGGGACAATTGTCCCTCCCAAAATGACATTTCAAAAAAGGCATGGTCTTCATGGCGGCTCCCTGTAGGTGTCATCTATTTTGAAAGTACCCTTCAACTCTCTTGAACGTCCCACGTTTAATTCCATGCCCACTACACCATGTTTGAAATGGGGTACCGATTGTGGTCAGCCTTCAATCACGCTGGCATCATTACCTCACTTCCTCCATGCCCACAACCTCAGATTTCTTTCACTTGCCTCCAAGTGGGGATGAATGGTTAGGGCCAAGTAAGACAGCCACAATCACGTGGCAATTCGGTGAATCCGAGGCAACGTGTCATCCGCTGAAAAACCAACGCAAACAAACTGACAAGCGACACTGGTGCGAACTCTGACATTTGCGAAGGACCTCGTGCCTTGCTACTGGTAGGATTCTCTTGTGAGGTCATCAAGCCCCTGGAGTTCGAGCTCTCACCCAATCGCCGTTTCCTTCTTTCTGGCTTTAATCTCCGTATATGAGATGAACAGAAATCCCAGGTGAATGACGTCCACTGGGTCCATCTCCACTCAACATCCGTGCTCATCTGGCACTGAGACCCTGTCTGTCGATGACCGCAGTGTAGCACTCCACCGACGGCACCAGCGCCTCTTCTTCCATGACCCGCAGCCATTGGGCCGCCTGCTTTGGACGGCCCTGCTTGGCGCAGCCATCCACCAGCGACGTGAAGGTCACCTTGCCAATCTGGGTGTCTGTGTGTGTTTGGTGTGGAGTTAGTACACTTTTTGGGCTTCTTGTAAAGGAAACCACCCATCGAGGTCAACCCATGCTCATTCAAACAAAGAACCTCTGGATTGAAGTCCTTGGAGACAACCAAAAAACGGACCCCGGCCACAGGAACATGTCCAGCAAATCATCAGCTGCTTTGGGCAGGGGACCTGGGGTAACCTCTCATGGAGCGTCGTGGTACGGGGTGCAAAAAACTGCCCGAAGAAGTGACAATGCTTGCCGAGAAAGCCAAGTGGGTTGATCTTCAAATACGTGGTTTTCCTTTGGTTTCCCTTTGAAACGATCCTATAGAGGCTACCAACTCCACGAAAGACACACGCTCACACACCAGTAAGCGCAATATAAGCTTAGTACTTGGTCGGGCTGAAGACCACTCTGTCGTAGCCTTGCAAGTGCTAGTGTGCTGAACGTTTCAACACTGTGCACTCTCACACACACACATCGCTTCGTGACAGGAGCGCCTTTCAAGCCACTTTTGTGCTTCGTCTTCCTGCCTCAAACATATGCTTCTGCCCGGTATGCTAAGACACTCGACAGCTTTCGGCCTGGAATGAGCATGGATCACCGCATTGAAGCATGCCTGCTGCCAACACTGCCAACGTTGAATCCACGGTGAATTGGCAACACTACTCCTCTCACTGTGTAAGGCATGTGAATCATCATTGTAAGACTTCTACAAGGTTTGGCTTGTAGCCCATGGACAGCATTTCTTCCCTGCCAAGGGAGCTTGTACCACGCATGAACACACATGTGTTGACACCAATCCTGCAATACATCGCCAACCAAAAACGAAGCCTCAAAAACGCACAGCTAGCATTTTTCTCCACGCTCATTCTTGCTGGTGACTTTTCAATTCACAATGAGTACACAAGTGTGACGGAGTCACAAGCGAGCAGCTGCTTCACCCTTGTTGCCTAGGGGAGCGCAAAACAAATTCTTGCGAATCCTCGGCGTCTTGGCCAGCGGCTGTTTCTGGCCGCAGAGGAGATCAACGTGGAGTAGGTCAACCTGAGCAGGGGCCAACACAAAGGCTCTTCACAGGGTATCATGGTATAATTATATGATGGTGGTGATTTCTACACTGTCCTGCATGTTGTGTGTAAATCAGACGGCGAGTGTGTGCTTTCTGCTTGTCCTGCCTACATGCTCAGTGACCGTCCGAATCAGGGATACGTGAATCTGCAAGCAAGAACTTGTGCCATTCATTCTACTTTGCAGACCTTTACAACATCCGAGGCAACTCTGATTCCTTGTTGGAATGGGCTTTGGCTTCTTCGTTTTGCATACTCAACAGCGCATCAACAAAATTACTCCATCTTCCTTACCGTCTTACAGGACAAACCCGCATGTCGTCAACTCTGGCTTGAAACCGAAACTCTTTCGGTACGAATGCATTCCACAAAGTGCATTTTCACAGCTCCGGATCAAACGTCTCAGCTTCTCAGTTCGACCCTAACACGGCTGATTGGTTGTGGTTGTAGTAGCAATGGTAGGGCTAGTAGTAGTAGTAGCAGCAGCAGCAGCAGCAGCAGCAGTAGTAGTAGTAGTAGTAGTAGCAATGGTAGCAATGGTAGCGATGGTAGCAATGGTAGCAATGGTAGAAATGCTTAAATTGTCTACCTCTTCAGATCCCAAAGTATGACACCGCTTACATCTATGTGTTGATATCAATCATTTGTTTATTCGATCAATGCTATTGTACATCGTCATTTGGCTTACAATCTAATTATGACAACGTTTCTTCACATACAACAAAACATGGATTCTGATAACTATTTGGATCATCACCAATTTGTTGTAGTTCATCTGGAAGCAATGGCAGCAATGGTAGCACTGGCTGCAATGGTATCACCAGAAGTAGCTGTGATAGTAGTAGTCGCAGCAGCAGCAGCAGAAGCAGCAGCAGCAGTCGTCCTTTTACTGCTGAGAGATGCCGGAAGGACAACCAGGTTTCTAAAAACATGTTTTGGGCATCATGTTATTTTCGGCATTTATGCAGTTGTAGAGCCTGGCGGCAGCTGGTAGAAACACGGGCTTGGCACTCGTCGCCGGAGTGATAACACATGCCAGCAAAGTGCTCCAAGGCATCAAAGGGCTGGTTGCTACGTGTTTTTGTCGACCCTTGTACAACAGGATGGCCCACAACTTTGGCGACGACGATCCAAAAAGGGCTTTGCCCCGTCCGCAGCGGACTCTGAGGGGCATCATTCTGGGGAAACCAACTTTTCAGCTCTCTGTCTCCTCCAGACGCGTTCCGATCTTCTGCAAATTTATGCACTGGACTTCTGCAAACGCATGGATCCGCATGGATCCCCCCGTTTTTGTGCAGATACAGCCGAGCGCAGAATTCTCGAGAGCCTGGCTCCGTTGGCTGCAAGCCCTGGCGCCGCATGCGCGTCTGCCACCGCTCAGCGCTCTCCTGGGAGGCGCGGACTCCGATCCCCATGAGTCCATGAAGTTTTACCGAGCAGGGGACACCAGCAAACAGGTAGCTTGAATTTGGTGCCTGTTCCTGGACTTTGGCGGAAACGGCCTTCCAAAAAGGCACAAAGGGTTAAAGGGGAGCACAGCATTTCAAGATGACCAGTCTTGAACCACCCACCAGGATACGCACCCTGCCGCCAAGCTGTTAAGAAGCTGACAGTGTCTCCAGCTTTGGAGAAGGCATCCATCACGGTGTTGAAGCTTATCCTCCGCAGAGGCTGCGCACTCAAAACATTGCTGTTGGGCTCCAGCAAGTGGAGCATCAGGGCCTCTGCAAGTCCCAAATGCCCTTCCAGGCAAAGAGAGTCCTTCTTCTATTTTGTTTTGGCCAGATCCACCAGTCTCAGAGTGACCAATAGATAAGACCGCTATCTGACATCTTCTCGTGGCGCCGATTTCTTGGAAGTCTCAACTACTGCCAGTAAATAAACACAAAGCAAGGTCAAACATGAACCACCAGAAACATTAAGGCATAGTTCTCTGATGCACGACATGCACTAGAAGTTGCTTCGAGATTCATAGCTGGCACCCTGTAAAATAAAAATGCTCAACTAAAGCATTGAGCATTAGGCACAGTATTTCGCGGAAAGAACGGTTGCAGTCCTATAGCCCCCTTTCTGACAGCATGGCAGAACAGACATCAGCTCAAAAGCCTTGCCCTTGAAAGCATGATGCCGTAGTGACCGGCTCTAGAGAGCCACGTATTCTGTTCCCACCAAAACTACAGCTTGCAAAGGCTTCAAGTTCAAATTTCCGAAACGTTGCTGATGGCGCCTGGGAGTGGCAGGTACTCTTTTCTGGTGGTTCAATCTTCTAGCATCTAGTTATGCCAGAAACAACTTCGTTCCTCTGGCAACTACATTGCTTCCCCTATGCTGGGTGAAGCCACACCTCATCCACCAGGCAGCCTTGAGATTCACAGTGTGGTGCCTGACCCTTTTCTGCTAATGGGATACCTGGACTCCCTGGTCTGCCGGCCCTTTCTCGGGAACTGTTGGGCGCCTGGCACGTTGGGAGAGACTCCAGCGGCCACCATGCGGTCAAACCTGGCGCAAAGTACTCAAGCTGAGTGCTGACTTGAGGCAGCGCTGCCAGTGCTCTGCTTGAAGTGGACTTCCAGCAACAGCCTGGGAAGTTGAAAGTTGAAACGGGAGCCCGGAACGGCACAAGGAACAAAGGCTCGCTGGAGCATACCTCTGAAGAGTAAACCACATAGGCGGATGCTAAACAAGCCCTAGATATGGCCCACATGTCACAATTATAATATATATATATATATATATTACCACATTTGGTCTGCTTTGGGGTCTGGTCCAGGGCTCTGTTAGGGAATCCACGAACTAAGCAGCCGGCGCAACAGTTGATCAATGCAGTATAGCAGGACCTTTCAGCTTTTCGACTTGACCCCCGCTCAATCCGGTTAGATCATGTTCCACATCAGCCACACCTGCCATCAACATGAGCATCTCATGCCTCCTGATCCCCGGTCACAGGCCACCCGTCCTTCTGGTACTGAGCGCCGTGCACGCCAGGCCTCAGCCCCGATACGACGCTCAAAAAATACCAACATGCACCATCGTCTGTTGTTTGTTGCATGGCCAACCTTGAAATGTGATGGAAGAAATCTTCGGAAGGGGCCTGACTTGCATCTTGGCACAAGGAAGGTTCCTGAAGCCCTTGGCTGCTTCCAAGCACTTGTCAGCTAAGGCTGCAGGCGAATGATGTGCGCTGCACATCTTCTGCAACCAGAGTTCCCCCCGCTGGATGTCCCCCACCTAAGGTTACTGAAACTGCACCATGGGCATCTAGAAACTATGTCAGAGGCATTTAAGTGGACGCATCTCCATTGGAATTTGTTAAATTGCCAAGTTGAGCCTACACAAAGGCTCGCAAATGATAATCTGTTCTCGAAGCACAGGATGCCATGACTCATTACAGTCAACACTTTTAAGTGCACAAGCCCAAATTTCCAGGACAAGGGAAGTGTTCATTTCAGTTTCGACGTAAGAGTTCTATCCCAAAAGGGAGGCTTCCCACTGATTTCAACTTCAAGAATGGCACCCTAAAAAAGATACACGCATTCAGGTGCTTCTCTCAGCCAGTAAGGCGCGTGCCTTGGCACAAGCATCCAGCAGAATCGCCTTGGTCTTTTCAAATGAAAGCCTATGCAAGCTGTGCGTCTTAGTCTCCTGCATACTGCGTCACTACCCGAGGCCCTGTGACAAGCACATAGATCCTACTGCGCAATCTCATGATCTGCTATTCTGAGATCTAAATCCATGCGCTTGCAGTAAACGGACCAGCAGTGCGACAAACATGCAAACAAACGGCGCGCCTACGTAGAGGGCGTTCACCAATTCGGAGAACCAGGCTTCCGCCTGCAAAACCTGAATTAAATGTGTCATTGTGTAGCAAAAAGGCAGGCCTGACTCGATGAATCAAACAAGTGCCCCCAGCTGATTGGTATTGTGTTAACTTTCTGTTTTCAGGTATCCGAGATGGGCCCGCGGATTTTGAGACAAGCCCAGGTTCCATGACAAGGTGAGCCAGGGTTGAAATTTGCTTTACCCATAACAAACATCGGCGAAAACAGACAGTCCCCCGGCATGTTTGGGAGATCTAGCGAGTCCCCCTGTGTCCATAGACTGCTGGATAATTTGATCAAACCTCAGATGCTGCGGTCCCAGGCACACGTTCCGTCAAACCAGTGTCGATTCTCTCTACTTTGTTCTCCCTCTCAGCTTGCGGCTTGAGAGAAGTGAGACAAAGGTGCTAGCGGCAACTAACGTGCTCAATGCTTGTGTCAGACTCAGACAACCAAGTCCCTCAAATTGCCAACCTAACACTTGCTTCTCATCACGCCAATTGCCATCAAGCTTGGTTCATTGACCTATGAGAAGAGAGGGGAGGAAGTGGAGGAAGGTGCAGATCCGCTTTGGGTCTCTGCACAGGTGGCGCGCTCTTCGGCTGCGGCAGCGGAGGTAGCGCCGGCCGCTCGCCATACGCGGAGTTGCTGCGGCGCCGGCTCGGCATCCCGAGCTTCGGGGCCAGGTCGCTTCGCCAGACCGGGCGCACCAGCGGACCACTGGGGGCCATCTGAGGGGCGGAAGAAAAGCAAGGTCATCTGTAAAGAAAGAAAGGGGCTCCTTTGCCAGGATCCTATGTGAAGGAAGGGGGCAAAGAATCAAACTTTGTGTTCTCCTCCCAGACCCAGAAATAACCCAAAACGGTCTCGCCTTCACCAGCAGCTCCTTCTGCGCCATCCGGAGGCTCACCCACCCGCTGGCCGGGCCTGAGCCGGAGACCCGCCAGTACCGCAGGCGGTCCCCGACCAGTTCCGCCTCCTCCAACGGCGAATTGAAGGGCCCCTTCCTCTGACACCATGAGTTTGAAACTGCCAACCTGGGCCACAAGGGGTGGGCAACCGCATGTTTGAACAAGATTAAACGACTGCGGAGGAAAACTCCTCCTCTTTCGTGGCATTCTGCAAAAAGAGTACCAGGATGTAATTAGTTGATTGATTAACCTTTGCACTCCACCCTTCCATACAGTTTCTCCCCCCCAACGCTCTCCGCGTCCTCCACCACGGCCCCTGTGGAGAGACGCTCTGCCAGCTGCTCCGAGTGCAGGTCGCAGCCCGCGCGGACGATGATCCTAAGACTCCAGGAACCTTGCAGGAATCCCCTGAACAGAGGTCCTGAGCATAAGTTATTTGCCCGTGGAAACCACCTGCGTAATGAAGACCAAATGCAGCATGCAAAAGATGAGAGCTATTCATGAAACTGGGGGTCAGAACGCCAAAGTCGGAAGTCGATGACGAGTTTATCCCTGTCCAGCCAGCCTTGGTATTCTTCCTTTTCTATCATGCTACATATTGCCGCGGGTGTGGGTCACTTGCCCTACTTCTAATTACTGATCCCTTGGTTTCACTAGCCGTTATATTATGAGAACTCAGAAGTGAGTGCTCCCTTCTTGGCTGGTTGTTTTCAGGGAGACACAGGTAAACCTGAAGAGCAAACCTACCATTCAATTCATACCTCAATTTTCGGAAACAAGACCTGGAGTAGATTGCAAACCAAACAGCGGGGACTTTGCAGCCGGGCAGCCCTCCTTTGCCGACTCCTCCCACCACCTCAAAGGGCAGAGGGGCCAGCCGTGAAACTGACAGCCAAGGATGATGTATGGGCCATTTGTGTGAATGCGAAAAAGCATGTTTGGACTGCCTGTTGTTTAAACTGTTTAAAGAACTCCACACAGCTAAAAGAAAAGGTTGGCGCAAAACCAACAAATTGCACCCCTCCACCGCTATATTTGTCAAGAACCAGTGCCAACAAACTAATCGTCTTTCAGCTTGTTTGCTTTTTTGGTCGAGATGAAAGAACGGAACCACGTCACTCACACACACAAACATCTACACCCACTCGCACCATGGTCCACTCTGGCGTCAATACCACAAGGTCTGTGAATGTGCTGACTGGGAACTTTCCATCGAGGTCTCGCTGCCGCATCCTGAGCGTCTGACTCTGACAGGGGGCTCAAAAGATTGAAACGGATAATTCGCTGCACTCCTCTCCTTGAAGCAGACATTGGATGTTGCAATTTCGAGGGCTAAACATGCTCAACAAGCTGAAACACAAGTTTTAGGTTCAAATGCCTCGTGGCATTTGACAAGGTGTTCCCACTCGATCACACAGCCGGGCTGCCAATCCGCGCGGCGGCCGGGGTGGTGCAACCGCACCTGAGCTTGAACAGGTCTCCAAAGTTTGACTCGGATCTCTCTCTCTCTCTCTTTTTCTCTCTCTTTCGTTATTTTGCTATTTCACTCTTTTTTTGTTTGCTTGTTTCTTAGTTAGTCTAGTTTTTGTGTTCTGTCTCTTCTTGTTTTCCGCTCGAAAGCACCTCTTTCTGCCAGCATCCGCCAACATCGCAGTTCCTGGAACACAAATTCAGCCAAGCAGCCAGCAATCTGGCCAGATTCGTCGCATCGGCCTTGCTTGCTGTCGTCTGCTTTTTCCCGGGCCTGCGCACTTCGCTGCAAGGGTGAATGAACATGCCACATCAAACTAAAAATGGGTGTGTTTCTTAGGGAGTAGCCTTTACACCCACACTCACACACACCTTTGTTTTCCCAAAGGAAAACCACCGGGTCTGCAGCAAGAAGAGAGTAACAAAAAGCAAAGTTGCCCCATTTGGACACACACCCAAGTCAGTAGTGGCAATCTCAGTTAGCAGTGGCAAGGCTGACCGCCAGACCTCAACCTCCATCTTGGGCTCCGGTTCCTGGGCTCGGCATTTCCCAGGCTCTCTACGACTCTACCCCTCAGGGGCTTTAGCACCATGGGAAAATCATGCTTTAGCACCCGCAGAAGGTCAGAAGGACCCTTGGTCAAGCTGTGTCGCTCCACATTCAGCACCATGGTTCAAGGACTGGGACAAAACAGTCCTGCGGAGCTGCGGAAGTTTCAGGGCTAAATTCATCCCAGAAGCAGCCACACTCTTGTCTTCGGCGCTGGGGCATTGCCTAAGCACCAAGTTCCGGACAGATTCAACGACCAGCATTCTCCCGCTACTTGCCTTCCATACAGCCACCAAACCTGCGTTCGTTCCCGTTCCCTGCCTGTCAAGATGCGACTCCAAATCACTGGGCAAGGCAGTCGGGTGTGCCTGCCATATGCGGCAAGCTTGCATCATGCCATGGACGCATGTGCTCCATGAAAGTCTACCTCAAGCTTGGGGACAAAAAACAATACTCGACTGAAAACACGATGGGAGCCAAACGCTGCCTACAACAGGTGATTCCGAAATGCAAAGACTTTTCTGGAAAATCAACCTCAATAAGTGAGGCCCACATGCCTATGAAATGGTACTGAGCTTGAAACACAGCTCCAAAGTAATTCGAAGACCCTCAAATTCAAGGAGTGTTGTCTTGTAGCCCTGAAGGTATACCCGAAGTCCTCCCAAATTAGGCAACTTGATATTTCAACCGAACCTCGCCCCATGTTCTGGTAGGTGGCCGAATAGTGATATGGTTCCCAATGGATTGGAGCTCCCATGGATTGGAGCTCCCCCTTCTCACAGACCCTCCCCCCATGTCCCGAGCAGTGTGCCCTTTTTGGTTGATCTTGAGAAACTCTCCACAAACAAAATGAAACCCAGTTGCTTGGCAACGGTCATTCAAAATCAACCAACATGTGTTTGCTTGCCGCCTTGGCAAGGGTCAAGGCAGAGGTCAAGGGCGCCCAAAACGGTTGGCCTCAAAAGTGTCTCCTTCGTGCCTCGAGCTGGGCCCTGATCTTCTCGCGCTCAGAGGCCTCCGAGGCGGTTCGAAGAGAATCAAATGGCACCATGGTGGCAGCTTGCGCGGGTTCGGGCGAGGACTCCCCAGGTTTTCTCTGGGGCGTATGGATTTGCACTAGGTGTTCTGGCAATCTCACATTCCTGTGTCATCTTGATATTTAAGTTGCATTGCTACTTCAGTGGGGGCATCAAAAACAGTTCATGAACCTCAAATAACAGATCATGAACAACGGTTATTTTCCCGGGCGAGGCTTGCAATCATCAAAGCAGAGTAGTTGGGATAGTTCATGGGTAAAACCTCAAACAAGTAGAGCAATGTGGAGAGCATGAGCTTGAGGTCCACTGCAAACGTGGCATTTACCACCGTGCCTCTGCCACTCTGATTCGAAGCTTCGCGTCTGCCAATGCGTTCTTCGCTTCCTGCAGGGCGTCCGCCATGTTGGCAGACTCCGCAGAGAGACTCTGCTCCCTGAGCACAGGAAAGGCGCCAAGCCGGGCTTCTAGCGGGCTGGTAAGCCAGTGGGGCTGGCTCCCTTACCGAAGAATTCGCCGGCTGGGCCGGCGGGGCCGGTGTGACCATGGGGAGTTTGTGTACAGGAATGTGCACATGTACAAGACGCAGGTGTTGTGAAGTTGTGGGGCATGCGAACGTGCCGAACACTTGCGCGCACACTTTTCATGTATGCTGGCAACACACTGGGCCGGCTCAAAGGGCTAGGCCAGCTCAAAGGCAAACATATATCAACCAGAGCCATCAAACATATATATGCATATATACATCCTCAAAATATAAATCATCAAAATCAAACATATATCACTCATCAAACCCCAACATATTTCAAACATCCAAATCAAAGGAACATGCCGCCACTCAGAAGGCGGCGGAATGAGCCAGAGGCTCTAAAATAACGCGGGTCCCTTTTAGATAGCATTGGTCTTCCAGGACCTCCTTGTCAGGTTTCAGGTTCCATGTTCGTGGATGGGAGGGTAACTCAGCAAGCAAGGAGGCAAGGGCCAAGCTACTGCTTCTCCTCCTCCAATGCTTGATGCCGTGCCAGCGCCCAGGACAACATGTCGTGGATTTGCCCACTTCCGCTGCCTTTGGCCTGAGACAGTCACGGACCCGAATTCAAGCCAGTTGACCTTCGGAGGCTTTGCCTTAGGGCCTCATAAGCATCTTGAGGCAACCTGCCAAGCGGCTGACTTGCCTTTCCCTCCACCCTTCTGCTTTGCCCGAGTGCCATTGGATGCTTTGCCCGAATCTGGGTGATCCTGAGCTCCACAGTCAAGGAATGAAAGTTGACTCATTGGCCAGCCTCGGAATTCAACAGGGAATCTGTCCCTCCCGCTTCCTTGCCATAGATGTTTGATGGTTTACTTGCAATATGACATTGTATATGTAGGTATGCATCATATACAGAGAATGCACGTGAAACTCACTGTCAGCTTCACGATGCAGCAAACCAAAGCAAGCTAGAAATTCCAAGTAGCCTCAAACTTCTTAGCATGTCTGCTGATGAGTGATCTCATCTGTGTGCGTGTGTCGTGCTTCAACGCCTCCAGAACCAAGCATCCGCGTACATGTCCAACATCTACCTTTCCTTGTACCAAGAATCTTGCCAGCATATTACTGCATGTGACACAACTCCATCGGCTTGGAATGGCTCTCTCAGCTGCATGGCAAATTTACGTCAGCTTTCGATTTGGTGCTGCTTAGAGTCCCAATTTCGCTGCACTCGGTCACACTCGTCCAGCAAGGCCTGAATCTCATCCTGCCAGTCCATCCGAACAACTTGACGCTCATGGAAACCTGGGGTTAGCTTGTCCCTTTGCACTGACTGTGCACTTGAGTGAATCTGCTCGGCTTCCTTCTGCAACGTTCCAAATGGCACAGTGGACGTTTGAAAGACATCGATGAAACGTTTGTTTCATGAACACATGTGACATGCCTGTTGCAGTTTTGTGGTGGCCACATTGGCACTGAGTCTATTCTGCTGTTTTGAGATGGCCTAGAAAGCTGTGCATCAACTCCTGCGTAAGCTTTAATCGTATCTGACTGTGCCCTTGGCCTTGCTTTTGTGGAATACGAAGCACATTATCATCCATGTCTTCACCTTACCCTACTTGGTTTGGTGGTGGGGAGGTTACGAGTACCCTTCCCATTGGCTTCAAAAGGAACTGGGTGCAAGTCTCCAACCACCAATCGAAACCAGCAGAACAGGTGAACCAATTTCCTGCACTGCGTCTTCAACCTCATGGACCGGTGGTCAATATGGCTGGCGCTTAGAGACGATGCAAGTCAACACTGGGCACGGTCCAATGTTGCGATCTCAACTAACTGGGTGCTGAGTTGTGGGGTCTGGACATATCAACCACCAATTCCCACTTGGGTTGAAAAAAAACCGTGGACAACCCTTGTATCCTTATGCCTCAGTATCGGTCAGTATCGGCTTTTTCCTCTGCATCGGCTTGCAGTGTTTTGGCAGCTCTAGCTCGAAAGTCGCGACTTTTCCGTACAATTGTAGTATGCGAAGTACACTCTGCTAGCTCCCAGCTCCAGCTTGAAAGTCGCAACTCTTCAGTGCAAGTGTAGCACACAAAGTACATTTTGGCAGCTCCAGCTGGAAAGTAGCAACTTTTCAGCAGTACACTTTGGCAGCTCCGGCTCGAAAGTCGCAGCTTTTCAGTGCAAGTAAGTGTAGTATGGTGTAGTATACGAAGTACATTTTGGCAGCTCCACAGCGGAAGTCGCAACTTTTCAGTACAAATGTAGTACACAAAGTACATGTTGGCAGCTCCAGGAAAGGCTGCAGGGCAGCTGGTTGGATTCGGCATGGCGGCCAATGAGTTGGGTATCGGTTGGGTATCGGTTTGGGTATCGGTTTGGGCCCTGCAAACCAGTCCGGCAAACAACGGAAAGCGCCTGCCACGGCATGCGATGGCTTTCCCTTGTTTTCCCTTGCTTTCCCTTGCCTTCCTTCGCTTGACCTTGCTTTTTCCCTTGCGTTGCCTTGCTTTCCCTTGCTTTCCTTTGCTTTGCCTTTCTGTGCCCGTGCTTTCCCTTGCTGTCCCTTGCTTTCCTTTGCTTTGCCTTGCTTTGCCCGCGCTTTAGCTTGCTTTGCCTTGCTGTCCCTTGCTTTGCCCGTGCTTTTGCTTGCTTTGCCTTGCTGCCCCTTGCTTTACCTTGTTTTCCCTTGCTTCCCTTGCCTTGCTGTCCCTTGCTTTCCCTTGTTTTCCCTTGTTTTCCCTTGTGTTCCCTTGCTGTCCCTTGCTTTCCTTTGCTTTGCCTTTCTGTGCCCGTGCTTTTGCTTGCTTCGCCTTGCTGTCCCTTCCTTTCCCTTGTGTTCCTTTGCTTTGCGTTGCTTTGCCCATGCTTTTGCTTTCTTTGCCCTGCTATCCCTTGCTTTCACTTGTTTTCCCTTTCACTTGCTTTCCCTTGTTTTCCCTTGCCTTCCTTTGCTTTGCCTTGCTTTGCCCGTGCTTTTGCTTGCTTTGCCTTGCTCTCCCTTGTTTTCCCTTGCTTTGCCCGTGCTTTTGCTTGCTTTGCCTTGGTTTCCCCTGATTTCCCTTGCAGTCCCTTGCTTGCTGTCCCTTGCTTTCCTTTTCTTTGCCTGTGATCCAACTACACCCTTGGAGATCCCTAAAAGGGGAAACCATAGACCGGGTACCCCGAAACATATTCTTACCTACCGTGAGAATGACATGGCCCCAAAGTGGAACCCGTTTGTGGATATCTCGAAATGGGCCACCTGAACTTAACTGTTGACGCAGTCCCATCTAAACTGGTACCCTCAAAAAACCAAAAACATCAATCGACTTGGCCGAATCAGGAGGTTCTGGAGCCGCTCGAGAACGCGCCCTTCCTCACCACGCTGGGGGCGTCTTGGCAATGGTGGCCGGGCCATAGAGGAGGCACTCCATCAGATTCAATCACGAAACGACCTCTTCATTGGTCAGTGAGTCGGGCACTTTTGGCATTTTGGAGCTGAGTGGCAATCAAGGTGTCCTAGCAGCTAGCAGCTTATACACACACACACCCAAAACAACAAGGAAAATATGCTCGCTTCTCAAGCGGGACTCCTGAGGCGGAATGAAGGCCACTGCCTCTTTACTCAATATAATGTCTGGATTAAGCTTATGATCATCTACTGCTGGATGTTACTGTCGATGCTGTTTCTCCGCTACTTTTGGACTTTTACTCAGCTGACTATATTTTGCTGCTCATTAACTTTACAATGCTTGAGCCTGAAGCTTGTGAGCGCATTCGGCGGATGCTGTCAGTGAGGCACTTTGACTTGCCTTCAGCATAAGCCCTTCCATCGCAATGCGCTGAGACACATGCATTGCCACTCTTTGCTGCAGATTCCATCAACCTCAGAGAGCCACGCACCTCAACTTTGCTATGGGCTGTTTCAACTCTATGAGCCTTCGCAATAGGCTGTTCCAAGGAGCTTGCCTCTCCCCTAGAGCCGTCTCTGCCAATTGAATGCTACCCAGAAGACAAGCACTGTCCAACTGTTTTGGCATGGTCTCTGGGAGGCTGAGGCAACTGCTTTCCAAAGGTCTGGCGATTAGGATGAACGTGGTTCCTGACAAGCAGTGGTCGTTCTGGATGGTCTGAGCGCTTCATCAGAACCTTCCCATCTCTTCGTACACGTTGGCCGCACCAGAAGGATCTCCGGCCTTGGCCCAAACAATATCGACTTCCCATACTTTATTCCTAGGAAGTCTCCCCGGGCTAAGGTCACCTAATCCAAATTCGCCTTTTGGGAAGCCAAGTTGCGTTGGCATGGGCCTTCAGCAGGGTGTTCCACACCTTGGCGCTTGACACAGACTGCTTTCCAATGCCTCGCCCATGGACGCGGCCATTCGATGCAGCCCGCCTGAAGCATACAACCCCTTGCAAATGGATTGTTGAACAAGTTCTGTGCACAGTGTTTGGGTCAAATATTAAAATCCAACGTGAAAGGCTGTGTCTCTTTGACATTGGACACCTAACACTGATTGTACAGAAAAGGAGCAAGCACAAACAGTCCATCAACATCGATAAACTTGGCACGTATTCCAGAAGTTGGCAGCTGCCTCTCGCGCTGGCGTTGCCTAGCAGCCTCAGACATGGCAGGGGGAGCGAGAGAGAGCTGAGAGAGGGGTCAACCACTTTCTTCAGGAAAACGAGTTGCATGTCAATGTGCTTTAAGACTGTACTACCGCAACTGCACTGCGTACGTCCTTCACTATGCCGCGCGTCAAAATGGGCCTGCATGCCTCAACAAACTCGGCTTCACCTTCCAAAAAACAGATTGCTTACTTCCTCCCTATGTGTGCCGCTGTCCGCAGAAGGAACCACATCAAAGTTGCTTGTTTTGTTTTTGGCATGTCCTAAAATGATTGAGGACTGCAAAGTGATGCACCAAGAAGTGATACAGTACCACCCCCAACAAGTGATGCTTGCCTAGGGCTGCCGCTTCTGGAAGGCTTTATGGGCCAGCTCAATGTTTCCTGCCTACGAAGCCAAGTGCCATGGCTCATCGCAGCGACTCCACCAAAGCATTCGATCACATGACAGTCGTGTTTGCCTCCCACTTGTGTTTCTAGGTGGCCCCTTGTCGCTGGCCTCTGCATGAAGGTCCAGGTTCTTCAACAGAGCCTCATCCTGGGGCCAGAGCTTGGGTGGACCTCCCTAAGTGGGACCCGCACGCCCCAGGATCCCAAAGGCCCACATTCTGAACATCCATGGCAGTGGCTTTTCACAAGACACTTCACGCCTCGCGGGGAACTGGAGACTTACCTGCAGCCAAGGCAGCAACCCTTTACCACGAATAGCGAGACTTCGCCCAAAATGGCCTGTCACTTGGGGGACTTAGTGGTCCGTGCGAACCTTTCTGGGGAGTGGGTCTTCATGTGTCTTGCACATCAAGCCTAGGAACCGCTGTTTGCTTCATTGCACATCATAAAACCAGCAATTTGTGTGGGGCCCGGCTAGTTCCACATTTTCTCATTTGGCAACCTCCTCGTGAAAAGCTGTGACCAGCACAGAAAGAACAGAGCAGAACTTCCCCAAGAGCCATGGATCAAATAAAATGGTCCTGTTTCAGGGTGTCCCTTTTGGGAACCAAAGCGACCGCGCTTTTCAGGTTGCGCCTGACAAACTCAAATGCAGCACAGCCTACGCTGTCCCTGCAAAGGCACTGAGGCAAAGACTGAAACCTCGCGCCCAAATGCTTCGCGCAAGGCCTGGTGCGAAGCATTCGTCTTCAAATGCTTTGCCTGCTCTACATGCAATGATTTGCGCTCCCCAGGCGCTGGCTTTAGTGGGAAACAATGAGACAATAAAGGGAAAACCATTGTTGGATCCAACAAACATATGAAATATGATCATCCTCCGGCGCAACTTCGTGCAGCAAAAGGACGAGATGAGCTCTTGTCCGAGCCTCGCTTCAGCCCGACCATGGCTCCAAAAACTGCACACTGCGCATGGCAATTGCTCTCATGGCAACAGGTGGCGGTTTTATGTGAAGCAAGCGTGAGTCATAAACTTGGTACTAAAGGATCTACCCAAAACCAGGTGGGGAAGTTAAAGGCCGACCTGTTGCATCTATTTGTGGTTTTCGACTTTTCTCATGCTAAAGCTACCCAGGTTTTGATTGTGGCTGGTGTGGGTTGCGCACAGCTGCTTGAGGATGCGCTGCTCGAGGATGCCCAAGCATGCTCTACAGCTTCCAGCCAAGGTTATTTCCAGACCTGCCAATATCTTTATGCACATTGGATACACAAATATTACACATATCTTTATGCACGTTGGATACACAAATAGTACACCCTGAATAGACTGTGTAGATGCTGCGAAAGGCAACAACGCGCATGGCAACTACTTCTCAAGCAACCAAATTGCTGTTGCTTCACAGGGTGCACAAGCTGGGCCCGCAAGTGTGCGATTCGCATTTGGCCGCATTTCTTTCACAAGAAGCTCACAGCAGTTTGCCGCGTACGTCTTCTTGAGACTGACGTCCGCACATTGATGCCATCCTATCATCGAACGCATACAAGCACAGCAGGGAAATCCTGCGCCATCTGAACTCATATTAATCCGTGTTTCTTTCCTGCGCTGGGGCTGCCCTCTGCCGCGACACGAACAAAATAATCCCCATGTATTGAAATTGAACAAGTCTCAGCAAGCCCCGAACCAACCAAAACCAACCTGGGCAACGCCCGGAACAGGCTTAACGCCTACACTGTTCCTCTCCCAAGCAAGTTACCCAGCTTGCAAACGGCACTGCTCAACCAGGAGCGCTTTATTTCCGGTCCCTGCGCGCGCCACGCCGCTGGTCCGGAAGCAGTTGGCCCTTGGACCATGAAAAGGGCTTTGTTTGTATTCAACAAGGATTTGAAAGGTTGGTGCTTCGTCAAAACATGTCAGGATATGTCAAGATCAAGTTAGACGTGGAGCAATCCAGTGGTACAAAATGCACAAGTCCCTTCTGTCCTGCCATCGCAAAGCGCATGATGCCGCTAGTGACCTGGGCTGTTGTGCATAGGCTGCTGTCAACATCACAAGGCTTGTCAGTTGTTGGCCCATGAGGAGAAGAAGCCAGATCTATCTCAACATGTCGCACCACTTGTCAACTTGCACACAGCAGGCTGAGCAGATGTCTGGACTCCTATGGTTGCTCCGTCTCGCTCTGTCTGCGAAGGCTATTGCAAGTGCTGGCCCAAGAATCTAGAACGGAAGTGCGGCGATCTCGCGGCAAAAACAGTAGGCAGTTGTCGAATGCAAGTGTTCAGAGTTGTGGACCTTTCGAATTCTGCGTGGGCACGCCCTGTCATGAGCCACTGCCAAAATGAACCTTGTAAGATTGTTAAGTGGACAAACCAACTGCATGCTGTTGACAGCTGCAATTGGTAACGCTCAGCCTGAGAAGCCGCCAAGCACTAAGACGCCTGCAATTCGCCCATGCAGGCCTGGATGCAAGAGGCTCTCTTGGCTCGTGCAGTGATTAGATGTCCAGTGCACATCAAGGAAGAACTTGGGTCCGAACTTCTGCCACCTCTTCTTCTTCCTCACCCTCCAGGCCTTGGGAATGTTGCTTCCGGTGTCTTGCAATCAAAGGTTAAATTGATTTGATGGACAGGAACGAAGTGTGAACACCAAGCTTGGCAATCTGAATTTCATCAGCGTCTTCCGGGCCGGGTTTGACAGGTGTTCCGGCACGCCTGCAGGTGGCAATATCTTGAACTCGTAGGGCCACTTCCCACAAGCCTGAGGCTAAATATTGCATACTGCACATAGTGCCGAAGCTCATGATTCATGCAGCGTCCTCCAGTATCTCCTGATGCCGCTTCCGCCACGTTGGCCCTCCTGCGCAGGTCAGCTGAATGACAACCCGCTTGACAGACAGCAAGGAACGCGTAACACTGCGATGAGTAAGCTGGGTTGTCCCCTTGCTGTGTTGTCCGCTTGCAAACCCGCCTATCACGTCCTCCAAGTCCTTCTTGGTCCTGCAATTGCATCATTGGAGCTGAGCAACTTGATGCATCAGTTTGTCAACGGAAAACTCACGGAAGCTTGATGTCGGCATGTCTGGAAGCGCTCCCCATGTTGATGTTCTGGAACATCATTTCTTCTACACCCTTTGCACACACAAAGCACATCCAACTTTCTGCCGCCCGACGAACAAAGCAGCTATGCAGCTTCAATATGGACAAAGCCCACGAGCGTGCAAGTGTCCATGGGCTTTGGAGAACTTCATCCGATCCGAGTACGCCAAGAGGTACCCACGTAACCCCGAAAGTGAATCTGAGCAAAATCTGAGCTGAACTCCATGGGGTGCACTCCGAGTAAAAGCACGGCTCCCAAAAGGAAACTCAGTAATACATCACGTGCTGGGATCCGGCAATTCTCATTGGCTCCGTGAATCGGGCAAAAAGTCAAGAAATGGGGAACATCTCTTCAAAATATACACACATGTCGCTGCATGTCTCTTGTATGGGGACGGGGCCTATCACTTTTTCGCCATTTGAGGGGCCCTGAGAAAGGCGCTCGTGGTTGACGTCCTCAGCTTGCCATGGCAGCCGCTGCTATCGCAGGCGCTGTCAGAATCCTCTGGCTTCCTCGGTGGCTTTCGAGTCGGAGAACAGGAAAACGCCACATGCCGCCATCAATCAACTCGTCCGTACTCAGCGCAGGCTTGACGATGCATGTCGACAAGGATAACGGGGCTGTCGATGATGAATATGGTTAATACGTTTGTGTTTATGTTTGTGTTGATGATACTTCTGATGAATATGACAACGTTGGATGATACATGATGATCATGCTGGATGTGCACAATCCAAGAACGCGTCTTGGCTTGCCAAGGCAGACGGAGGAAACTGCCAGTCTGTCTCGAACTAAGAACTGAGCAAGGAACATGTGTCGAGGCATCCATCCGCCTGGATCCAAGGCTTGCCCTCATCAGGTCATTTGGCAAGTGGGAACTCGCACTACGGACCTTTGGTGGGCCCCGGAAACGACCTTTCACAAAATGCTAATAATCAGTGCGCATCCAAACAAATCCGTACCCGTATCGCCCAAGTCAGAGGTTCCTGGCCATCTTGCAACCACTATTGGCAGACTGGTGTCAAGTGGCTGGCGTTAGCAAAAACTAACGAGATCTATCGATACGAATCCTGATGAAGCTTTGACGCACACTGTTGCGCACTGAAATCTATTCATCTGGGCCCCCGTGAATTGTAAGCTTCAAAATTTACCCTTTTCCACAGGTGCAACAAGAGGTGTCCGGGCAGCTAAACGTGGGGAACCCTTTGAACAAATTTGTGCTGCCGGGCAAACTTTCATTTGACCGCCTTTTCAACCAAACACGGTTTCGGGGCACACCTCCTCCACATGGCAAACTGCAGCCGTGTGTTTGCCCATAATTCCCGCCAGTACTCAGAAAAAAACACAGCAGCACCGTATCACCTACAGCAGTTCAGCG